ACTCTCCCGATTCTCTCCCCCATCCAGCGTGGGGCAGCAAGTGAGTGGCTGCGTGAGGCTTAGTTGCTGGCTGCGGTAAAACCACAACAGCTCTTTTTGTCACCCAAAGTGGGGCCCAAAGGGTTGAGATAGCAAATCTGAACAGAGCGTTTTATAGTGAATCTGCGATAAGCATTCACTATGTTGGTGTCATAGTTGCTGGTCACAATGTTGATTTATTTGCTCTCAGAATTGTCCTTGTTCTCAGAGCTGTGCCGTATAACACCTTACATGCTGTGTGCTCTCCGTGTGGCGCTGGTTATCACCTCTCGGAGGTGGATTAAGGTTACTGCTTTGCTGTACTGTGTAATACTGGCTTATGCTATGACAAAATGACTGGTCATGAGATCAACCTCGTATTTGTACTCAGCATTGCCGTCACCTCTGTACTTCAGGAGCCAGCTACTGGAAATTATTAATAATTCTACCTTTTACTTTTTCTCCTCAGAGTGTCAACCTATAGGGGAGGCACCTTCCTCCGTCTTCCCCTTCTTCTCTGGGCTAATTACAACAGCTCTTGAGAAGTTTGAATATCCTTGGGATGTTCAGACCAGCATGGTCCTGTTGCTAGGTCTCCTGAATGCGTTTCAGATCTTACTCATGGTTAAACAACTACTTAAGAATACTATCCAGAGATCAACACTTGCAACAGGCACTGTGGCTACTCCAACCCCCACGACAGGCATTGCAGTTACCCCAACTCCCGTGACAGGCTCCTGTGCTTGCCATGGGGCTTGCTCTTCATAGCAGACCATATGGTGCTCTACTTTGGATTTGTTACTAAACCACCGCTGATAACGCACAAGTCTTTTGGCTACTGCTGGGCAGTCCTTGCAGAGCATGAAGGCTTCCTCTTTCTCACACTCGGCCCCCACTGCAAGTAGGCTGGGGGTAGGCAAGATGCTGGCATAGGCACACATGGGAAAGCTGACCCCAAGTGACCAAAAGAAATATTCCATTCCATATGATGTCATACTCATTAAAAATACCTCAAGGAAAGATGGAGGAAAGGGAGCCATTGGTGGTCATGGCATCTGTCATCCCAGGTAACTGATACACACAATGCTTTCCTGGCAGTGGCTCAACATCTGCCTGCCAATGGGAAGTAGTGAATCAATTCCTCATTTTGCTTTGCTTGCACACACAGCTTTTGCTTCACCTATTAAACCGTCTTTATCTCAGCCCACATGTGTTCTCAAATGTACCCCTCCGATTCTCTCCCCCATCCCGCTGAGGGGAAGTGAGTGAGCAGCTGGGTGGTGCTTAGCTGTCTACCAAGGCTAACCCACAAGAGGTCGGCAGTCAAATTTCATGTGAACATTTGACAAGCTAGCCAAAGCTTTCATAGTCCAAAGAGACTCTAATGTGAGCTAGAGGCTATGCTTCAGACTTGGAGTGTAGAAGTTGGTGATCTCAGGTTTGAGGCAGTCGGGCTTCCTGAAACATCAGGCTCGGCTTGCAGCAAAGGCACCTTTGTGTGCTGTCATTTAGATGAGGGAAAGAAAGGATGGCCTGTCTGCCCCCAAAATCTGAGAGGTGTTCTTAACCATGTGGTTGTGCTGGTATCTCCAGCCTTATGTTCTCCCAACATACCTTGCTTTTGTGCCCTTGTTGCTTCTGTAAAAACAGTAAGAAAATGAAGTTTAAATATATTGTATTCCTATATTTGACATTTCCCCTGGAAGTCACAGAAATATTTGATACAGCTGAAAGTAATCAGTGTAGCACTGTGACAGGATACACCCATCAGCAATTCACTAGAGTTGACTTTCTCACTGCTGATGATGGAGAATTTAATCCCACTTTACAAGATAAGACTTGGGAACAGACTTTCTAGTGCATTTTTATACTTCCCCCTTGGGATTGATATCTGGGGTGTCTTTCCCTGCATACAAAGTGTGACTGTATTTTTCTACTTTGGGCTTCGCAATTCTCTCTTTGGGGACCTTGCTATAACATCCTCCCTCTCCCCTTTAACCTCTACTTGCTTCAGGACAGGGCCTGCCCCATTATATGGACTTGTACTATGCTTCCTACAATGAAACTTCAATACGTGGAACTACTGCCAAGGCCTATGTTAAAAAACCGGAAATGAACTGAAGTTCTTCAACTTCATTTGGAGTTCCTTAGCTCTCTTGTCTTGTATGTCAAGATTTTTTTCTGGATGTTGTACTCTACAAGCTCAGAGGACATCGGTCACTTTTTGCTACCATAATTGACTTATTAAAAGATGATAAATTGCTTACCAGGAAAGATATAGGGATATTATCAGTTTTGTTTTCATTCCCTCCCATGTAATCCCAAAACTATTCTTCTTGAAGATATGTAAAAGTGGCAAGAAGTTAATAATCAGCTCTTGCTGGAGAGAAGCACCTCAGCATTAATTATGTCTCTCATGAGGAGACTTCAGGCGTATCGCTTCCACCCACACTAATCATAAAACCAGTATTGTGAATTGTTTCACAGTTATATCCCTGTCAAGCTGATGCCAATTTATGACTGTTATGTTCTTTTAAATACTAAAATCTTATTTTCTTTTGATGAATACAGATAAGGTCTGTTAGTTTTGTTACGAGGTGTATAGTATGATTCCATAAAGCTGCCTATTATTTATATTACTGAGCTGTTTGAACTTCACTCCCTTCTCAAAGACCAGCCTAGCACAAGAACCAGTGTATCAGGCCTCTTGTCACTGGAGGGCCTCTTCATATTTGACAGTTTAAATGTACCTGGGATTCAACTTTTAGCTTAGCTTTCTAAACCATATGCTTGACTACAATATGTTATTCTGGCAGTGTTTTCTGGTTTACTCTTTCTTGGGAATGGTCATGCAACGTGTTTGCCTGGAATACACAGAGGGCAGAATGGCGCTCGAACCTGGTGGCACCCACCTCTGCCCCTCGTCCTGCTCTCCCATCGCGTTCCATTTGAGAACAAGTTACCAATGAAGATCTCGGGAACGGTCTTAACTTGGAAACACAGTGTTGCTTGTATTAGATCCAGCAGAGTCAGTGGACTGAGTTTTTGACCTAAGTGAGCTATTTTTTCCCTACCAAAGATCCTGAATGGATACAAAATCTCCTTATTGAGCACAAACTTATAAATTCCATACTTGTATAGCCTCTGACACAAGAGACTTTCACTGAAGTAAGGCTGCGTCCTAGCGTGCTGATTGCTAGAGTGGTGAGCAGTTGCCTCACTTGTTTTCCTGGGTTTTATCTCTGTTTCTCCCTTAATGATTTCCTTTTCATTACAACATTATTGTTGTTGCTGTTGTTGTTATGATTATATCTCAGTGTTGAACTGTTCTTATCTCAACCCACAGCTTTTGTACTTTTGCTCTTCCAGCTCTATTCCTCTATGGCACCGAGGGGGCAGGGAGAGTGAGAGAGCTGTGCGGTATTCAGCTGCCTGCTGGGTTAAACCACAACACATAGAAAATTATGTAGAAGCAGGATTATAATAAGAAATAAAAGTAGACTCGTGGCCTAAAATAAAATCGGGGAAAGAGAGGGGAGGCAGTTTATTGTGTAAGAACTAGCGTCAATTGGGCCAGTTTCAATAGGGCATCCTTGAGATCCTGGTTCCTCATGCTGTAGATGAGGGGGTTCACTGCTGGAGGACCACTGAGTTACAGCACTGCTACAATGAGATCCAGGGATGAGGATGAGATGGAGGGGGGCTTCAGGTGGGCAAACACTGCAGTGCTGAGAAACAGGGAGACAACAGCCAGGTGAGGGAGGCACGTGGAAAAGGCTCTGTACCGTCCCTGCTCAGAGGGGATCCTCAGCACAGCCCTGAGGATCTGCACATAGGACAGCATAATGAAAACAAAACAGCCAAGTGCTAAACAAGCACTGACCACAATAAGCCCAACCTCCCTGAGGTAAGAGTGTGAGCAGGAGAGCTTGAGGACCTGAGGGATTTCACAGAAGAACTGGTCCACAGCATTGCCATGGCAGAGAGGGAGTGAAAATATATTGGCAGTGTGCAGAACAGCATTGAGAAAGCCACTGCCCCAGGCAGCTGCTGCCATGTGGGCACAAGCTCTGCTGCCCAGGAGGGTCCCATAGTGCAGGGGTTTGCAGATGGCAACATAGCGGTCATAGGCCATGACAGTGAGAAGATAAAACTCTGCTGAGATCAAGAATACAAGCATAAAGATCTGGGCAGCACAGCCTTTGAAGGAAATGTTAGTTGTGTCCCACAGAGAATTGACCATTGATTTAGGGAGAGTGGTAGAGATGGATCCCAGGTCGAGGAGGGAGAGGTTGAGAAGGAAGAAGTACATGGGTGTGTGGAGGCGGTGGTCGCAGGCTATGGCGGTGATGATAGGCTGTTGCCCCAGGAGGGCAGCCAGGTAGATGCCCAGGAAGAGCCAGAAGTGCAAAAGCTGCAGCTCCCTTGTGTCTGCAAAGGCCAGGAGGAGGAACTGAGTGATGGAGCTGCCATTGGACATCTGCTGCTTCCGGGCATGGAAACTGCCGAAGGAGATAAAACCAGAAAAATTCAGATTATGTTTTCTGAGCAAAAGTTGATCCATTTATTGTGAAACATCTAAGGGTGTTTTTCTTTCATGGGACACAATTATGCTGCTCCAAGGCATCAGCTCTGGTTGGTGCTGGCTGAGTGTGCTGTGCAGAGCAGTGCCCTCTACCCATGGGCTCCTTAAGGGTCAGCCCTGCTTTACAGCAAGGACACGTGGAGGTAGAAACAGCCCCATGTGTTTGGAGGGGGGATTCCTGGGGAGGAGTTCCCTGTGCTGCACTAGAGCACAGAGCAAAAAGCTCAGGACGCTTTCTTCCACAGAGGAAGGTGGGAGATCAGGTGCAGCAAATTGGTCTCCTTACACTGTGTTTTAGCATCCAGACACACCCATCCCACTTGGGAAATGTTCTTGGGAAGAGTAAAATTCCCCCATTGCCCCATTGCTCTCAGTGCAAACCTGCATCCATGCTCACATGCAGGTGGGCTGCTCTGCCCATGAGCCTGGTGCCCAGCTGCTCTGTGCTTGCACCACTCTCAGCTGGACGAGGACTACACCCAGAGTTTGCTCTGAAAAAGAGAGGGACAGGGAGCAGAGGGTTCCTGCTCAAGGTGCCAAATTAAAAGAAGCATTCCTTTCCAGCACAGCTATGAAGAGCAATGATGATGAGGACAGGACCATGACGCTGATTTGCATGGGCAGATCAGGTGCTCTCAGCCACTACAAAGGTCCTGGAGGAGAGCTCTGCCCTTCTGGAGGGATGCTCACGGCCCCACAGGACTCCCTGCCCAGCAGAACCAGGGCTCTTAAGGTGATGTCTGCTGAGGGAAGCAGCGTCTCCTTGCCCAAGCACTGCCTGCAGTGTCTCAAGCTGGGAAAATTAAGAGGCTTGGACACCTTGGTGCCATGGAAACAGCTCCAGGGCAGTGCCCTCCAGGTCCATGTCCGAGCAGGTGCTCAGCATCCCCAGCCCTTGATCCACATCACCACTCATATTATTGCCAGGGACCCCAAGAGCAGGAAGAAGAGCAGCACAACCACGGCACAAACAAAGGAAACCTCTGTGACTCTCCTGCAAAGGGAAGCAAGGAGAGGAGAGGTGATTGCGCACTCAGGAAAGCCTTCTCCTTGCCCAGCAGAGCCCAGCACCTCCCAGGCAGCAAAATGCCAGGGCAGTGGCTCTCAGCCCCTTGGCTCTGCAGGGGGAAGGGTCCACATGTCAGGAGAGATGCACCTCTGCTGTGCTGGAGCTCTGGCTGCAGCGGAGGCAACTCCTGCCCTGGAGCACACAGCCTGGAGGGCAGAGGCTGTGCTGGGTGGGAGACGAGAGCAGGGGTCTTGCTCCGAGGAAGGGGTCTGGCCTGGAGGGGGTTGCAGGGAGCTTTCTAAATTCTCCCTCCCATGGCATTACTGATGTGAGTTTCCTATAGCTCTTTGCCCGTGTGTCTGATGCCTGGACCTATACTTGCCGTGAAGTCTTTCTCTGCTCTCAAATGTTTCCCTGTCAGTGATCACAGACCCCATCACCAGCTGCTGTCTTCTTAGCTCTGCCCTGAAGAAACCCCTCCCTGTTTCAGGCACTCTCCAGAGGTACTCCCCCCTTGCAGGCAGTAAGGAGCAGGTCAGACAAAGCCTGATGAGGACAACAAAGGTGATGGTGCTCTCTGTAGGTGGAGAAGTGGGTGGAAGCAGTTCACTCGGCTCCTACCACACCTACTGACCTCTCAGTGGAGCAGCTCAGGACTCTCAGTCTCCCCGCCCCCCCCAAGTAGCAGCACCCTTTCCCCTTTTCCCTGAAAGAACAGGAAACTGAAAGCACAGACTCAGGAGAGCTCTTCACCTTTAGGGTAGCCCCTGCCTCTGACAAAGTCCCCTCTGAAATGCTCTGGGCACCTCTGGGTGCACACCCAGGCTTCAGCCCTTTACACTTGTCCAACAGGAGCCCCTGGGCTGGGAGCCCTCCGGACGGAGCCTGGAGGCTAGGAGAGCTTCAGCAGAGCCTTCCCAGAACC